AAGAGCCATGCTAGCAGCCTTTCAAGATATTTCCGATGAAGAAGCAGAAAGCGAAGGTGAAGAAGATGGAGTTTTTGCTATGATGTCCATAAGTGACTCAAACTATGAGAATAAATCTAATGAGGTAAACCTTTCTGTTCTCAAAGAAAACATTCATGCAATGTCTAAGAAAGAATTGATGCATGTAGTGCTCTCTTTGGTAAACGAAATTGATAGGTTGAGTTCTAATAATGATCAGTTAATGAATATATTTTCAAGTGTTAAACTAGACCCTTAAGTCTTGAACATAATAATGATGAACTTGAAAACCAAATAAAAGATCTTAAGGAACAAATTCACGTTCTTAAAACTGAAAATGCAGCACTCAAACTTGAAAGTATGAAATCAAATTAAGTACTAAATAAAGATAAGAAATTAGTTAGTGAGATTCAGATTTCCCTTAAAAGGAATAAAAAAGACAAAAGAAAAATTGTACATTAAAATTGAAAAGAATAGATTACTTGAAGAGAATATGAACAAAGCTAATTATGACTTACCAGAATCACTAAGTGGAACAAGTCCTCAGATGCGCTAAATTGGCTAAAAGAAAATCATAACAGGAATAAGACTAGAATTGGATATGAGAAATCTTTGTCTAAGCTGGATCCTAAGTATGTGAAAGTTCATAAAAATAAGTTGTGTACACATGGTGATAAAACTGATCACTTCAAGGATATATCAATTGTTAGATTGAGTGCCTTTATGGATTACTAAAGAACTTGGTTCGTTACCTTACTCCTTAAGCGTAAGCAAAAATAAATAATAAAGTAAACACAATAATTTTTACTTGAAAAATCACCCGGCTCAAAAGGTGCAAAAACCACGACCTACCACGTAGGATTTTAGCTTCAACTTCACTAGAACAATGAGCCAAATGTATCGATTACAAATATATAACTCAATATTGTCTAGTTCTTCTACTTCAACTATTTGACTTATAGGTTACTCTAACTTGCAAAATCAAACACTCACTCCAACTCACTAATTGTATATGACACTTTGATTATAACTCGATTTTCTAAAATACATTTGCTAGATTGACTCAAGAAGAACACAAACACTGGTACTCGACTTGAGTATAGAAAATGTAGTTCTTAAGTTGATGTGCAAAAGGATAATCTCAGTAGTCCAAAAAGATAGTATTTAAACTCCTTGGGCTCCGAGATCTTTTAGGATTCCTATGCGTAGTCAATTTCTCGTTTGATGGGACTCCTACTTCTCCAAGGACTCCATAATTCTTGGAACTCTTATCTCTCAGTTATGAAAGCATATCTTCTTGGACAACAACTCTTATCATGTTTAGCAGTCCTCTTCCAACGAACTCGGACTTAAGTAACTTTGTGATAAAGTTACTGTCTTATAGGAATGTGCAATCATCAATATCACGACTCAAAATCTAACTTGTCATGATGGCACCTAACACAACCCGCTAGGTAAGCCAAATAACGGTAAATATAATTTAATAATAAAATTAAGATTCAAAAGTGAAATAATTAAATTTTTATACAACTCCCCAAGGACTGGTAGTACAAGTCATGAGCCACTAAGATTTAGATTTACAAACTGAAATGAGAAATGATACAACATTTGTTTGAAATGTACATGAATAGAATCTCAAATCTAGAGCTACCAAGAACTAGTGGTAGCAACAATCTGGAATGCAGGTACATCTTCAATGCCAGCTCCCGCCATACACAGCAACATCAGCTCCAAAATCTGCACACAAGGTGCAAAAGTATTTTATGAATACTACCGACCTCATGTACTCAATAAGTAACAAACCTAACCTCAGGTTGAAAGCAATGACGAGCTCAAAAAACAGCCATAGTCCAACACCAATAGCCAACGTAATAATATAATGAAAGTAGTAAAGTAATAACTCAAAAGATATTATGCTCAGCTCGTGCACAGTTACGAAAAAGTAGACATGTTTTTCAGGTACATCAATAAAGCCCAAATCTTTCACCGGAGTCACCAAAATATGAGTATATCAGAAGAACTGTGATTTTTCCCAAACTTTCAACAATAGATAAAACATCTCGTTATCACATAGCATGAGGAAAATACATCTCTATTCCTACATGTCAATATGCATGTCACGTTATCAATTATCATATACCGTCTAGTCATGAGGAATATATATCTCAATGCCTACATGTCAAATGTACATGTCAAATCATGAATGTCACAATACCGTCTAGCATGAGGAAAAATACATCTCTATGCCTACAGGCCAAGTATGCATGTCAAATGAATGATTTAACGGTGATATTCCCAGGTACTCTCACCCTCAATATACTCAAGTTGTCTATCTCAATTGCCCACTTCATCACACATACACAATCAGTCAGCACTGTACGGGTGCCTGGCTCATAAGCCCCTCACCGAAGCACGTGTATATATAACACCGTGCATGCGCTCACTGCTGGTATGTAAGACTCTGGAGGGGCTACATAAAACAAAAGCCTGTAAGGCCTGCTGCGGTGTGCAACTCGATCTACAATAATAAATAATAGTCACAAAGCCAATATGACTTGCTGCAGCGTACAGCCCGATCCACAATAACACTCACAACACGGCTATCAGCCCCACCTCAGTCATCAATCTCCCAAGTCTCAAGGGCTCACAATCTCGTACCACTCAGCCCAAACAATGATAATATGTAATGTAATAGTGAATGATAAATAGAGACTGAGATATGATATGCAAATGATGAACTATGACTAAGTATATAATTGCAATTAAAGCAGATAACTCAAAACAACAAAAATAACCTAATTAGGTCTCAACTGGATAAGCACATAGCCTAAACATGATATCTAGCATGAATCACATCCCAATTACTCTAACAAATAGGAATTTCATAGATAAAAAAGACTGGATAGCAACACAGTACAGAAATCAACCTGGTTCATGTTTACCATGGTGCACGCCCATGCGCCCGTCACCTAGTATGTGTGTCAACCCAACATAACACCAATAACACGTTTCATAGGAATAAATACCCTCAATTCCAAGTTTAGAAGTGTTACTTACCTCGAACAAGCCAAATCCAATACCGAGCAAGCCAAACAATACTCTAGAAATGCCATCCCACACGTAACAACCTCCGAACAGCTCGAAACTAGCCAAAAGCAACTCAAACGCATCAAATAATGCCTAAGGAAACAATATCAAATGATAAAGGTCGAATCTTTACACATTTACTCAAAATCAACCAAAAAGTCAAAACCAGGACCGCACCACGAAACCTGATAAAACTCATAAAATCCGACAATCCATTCAATTACGAGTCCAACCATACTAATTTCACTCAATTCTGACTCTGAATCGATGTTCAAAACTCAACAATTCACTTAAGGTAGGTTTACACAAAAATCCTAATTTCTCTTTTGAAATCATCAATCAAATGCCAAAAACGAAGATCCAATCACGGAATAAAATTAATACCGAGTAGAAAATACTTACCCCAATCCATGTGGTGAAAATTGCCTCCAAAATTGCAAATCCGAGCTCCATAGCTCAAAATATGTTAAAATGTCTGAAACTTTCTAAATAGAGTACTTATAATCACTGAGCATCAATACCCATCGCGATCGCGGGATATCCTTTGCGATCGCGAAGAACAAATACAACTGCCACCAAAAATGCTCCATGCATTCGCGATACTACACACGCGAACACGATGACCACATACATCTATACTATGCGATCACGACGCAGCTTACGCGAACACGATGAAGAAGTCCTAGCTCTCAGCTCAGCTCTATGCGAACGTGATGCCTCATATACGAACACAGACAGTAACCAACACAAACCAACGCGAACGCGTTCCTGATGACGCAAACGCGAAGAAGAAAATTACTCAGCTCTAGAATTCCTCTATGCGATCGGGAGCCTGCTTCGCGATCGCGATGCTCTATAGACACACCAGCAATCAACAATACAACAACCATTCGAAATGATCCGAACTACGTCTGAAACTCACTCGAGCTCCTCGGGACCCTATCCGAACATACCAACAAGTCCCATAACACAATACGGACTTACTCGAAGCCTCAAATCATACATAACACCATCAAAACCACGAATCACACCTCAAATCGAACTTAAAGAACTTTTAAACTTTCAACTTCCAAAACTCGTGTCGAACCATATCAAATTAACTCGGAATGACCTCAAATTTTGCACATAAGTCCCAAATGACATAACGAAACTATTCTAATTCCTTGAACTATAATCCGAATCTGATATCATCAAGGTCAACTCGCGGTCAAACTTATGAACATTCCAAACCTTCAAATTGTCAACTTTCGCCAAATAGTGTCGAAATCTTCTAAAAACATCCAAATGTATATTCGGGCATACGCCCAAGTCCAAAATCACCATCCGGACCTAACGGAACCATCAAAACTCCAATTCGGGATCAAATACACATAAGTCGAAGTTGGTCAACTCTTCCAACTTAAAACTTCCTAGTTGAGAATAATTCTTCCAAATCAATAACGAATCATCTGAAAACCAAAATCAACAATTCACACAAGTCATAATACATATCATATGCAGCTGCTCAAGATTTAAAACAGCTTAACGGAATGCAAATGCTCAAAACGACCGGTTGGTTGGGTCGTTACAATCAACGTTGAGGACCTGATTCTTAGAACAGTTAAGCAGTGGTTCTTAAAGCATGTCCTTTGAATAAACTCTGTTAGTCATCAAAACATCAGTACTCAACACATGATTGTTCGAATGTTTTGAATCTCGTGCATTGTTGGCAATTGTGTTTCGAGAGGTAAGTGTCCTTTATGGTTCCTTTCTGGTCGTCGTTAATATGATTTGGTTGTTTGGAAGTCTGTTTTGTGGTATAAGGTATGCAAAATAGTCTCTCTCTTTTCTTTTTTTTTTGGGGTCAAAACAAAACAATATTCCCAGTCTTTTCTCGGTAAAGTAAAATTTCCAGCTTTTATTCAAAGATAATATCCTTGGGGTTGTCAAATTGAAATGTATAATAATAGATTCAACTGACAAATTTACAGGTTATGTATATATGTACAATGTCTACCTATGACCTATCAAACAACAAAATGCTGCTAGGAATTTACATAATTTAATTGCTAAACCGGCTAGAGTGTGACACCATCTAAATCGCAACAAAGTTGTGGGAGAGCTTTTCAAACTGAGATTTCATTAAATCCCCAAGAGATCGAAAAGAACTTCCACGTGTCATGGAGCCTGTGGCTGTTGTTGTCGTCGTTGTCTCGTTATTCACAGCAACATCAATTTCGCCCATCTCAGTCTTCATGGACTTGACAAACTTCATGTCAATATCATTACCAGAAATGTCTCTTATGTAGAATGTATGTCTTGCCTTCCCTCCCTCTGTTGCTACATCTGCTCTAACAACAGCTAGGCCACTCTCTCTAAGAACCCGAGTAATATCAGAAAGCAATCCTACTCTATTGTTGGCACATAATTCTAATCGAATTCCCTGTCAAATAACCAATTAAAAACATGATGCTCAGAAAGAAGTGGACTGACTATGAGTTAAATTAAACCAACTATTACTATATATATATATTGAAGAAAAGACAGACCTCGCAAGCCCTTCTTTCTATAGCAGCTTTCAAGCATTTTACTACTCTTTCTTTCTCACTCTCTGTGCTCATTGCATATCCATCAACATGCCTTATGAAATATTCCTGTGACGTCAAAAATTTCATCAGCATATATATTTTGTGTATTATTTTCGAAAGGTGATTTTATTTTTATTTTCGAAAGACTCAAGATTTATAAGGAAATCACTTTGAAACTCTCATCTCCGCTTTCACTATGTGAACATTTTTTCAATATTCCTAAAGCAACAACACTTGAGAAATATAAAAACAAGAGTGAACCCATGATTATGAGGTGCCAAAGAATTTTTAAAAAAAAAACAAAACAAGCAAAAGAAGAAGACGAAGTACCTGAAATGCACAACCTCCACGAGAATCAACGGAAGCATGGAAAATGACATATTGCATATCCATAAGAGTGCAAACAGTATCAAACATGAGCCTCCTACGGTCCTTGCACTGAATAGAAACTATTGAGTATCCTTTCTCATCACAATTCTCAATGCAAACACTCAATATTTTCTCTTCCTTATCATTAATGTCAGATCTTGGAGACCCCATTCTTGGAGACCTTATAGGCTTTGAAATAGGGCTTTCAAAGTCGCGAACAGAAAGCATAAGTTGATGTAATCGACGTTCAACATCGGTCACTGTGCCTTCTCCTTCAGGATTAAGGCCATAAGCAGTCTTCACTTGTTGTTGATTTCCACTTTCTTCATTGGTTGTTGCTCGGAGCACAGTGGTTAGGTGATCTTCGATTGCTAGCAAGCGATCGTGGTCGATAGGGGTGTCTGTATATTCTTCTGAAATGTAAACAACGCAAGCTAAACGTGCATTATGGCTCCATGCATGTGCTTCCACAACGTTACAATGGAGATCAGCTAGGGCAGCTGATATCTCTGAAAATAACCCTGGTCTGTCTCTTCCAGTCATTTCAATAGCTCTAGGCTCAGGAGGAGATTCACATTTCAAAATATTTCTACTTCCTGACTTTGATTTGTGTATTCCCTCCCTATTTGCACCAATAGCCTGGATGTTTCTTTCGATCAGTGATATGGATAAGAGTTTTAAATTGTATACATTGTTTAATGATTTTTTGTATTAGCCGTGTAATTTTAACTAGTTATTGTAGGTTATTACTCTATTGCACTATACATAAAATCAACGCTAATAAATAGGAGAGCATAACATTTATATCTATCAACGTTATTTTAACAATCAAATTAAGTTGATCTATAGACCTATAATAATAAATAACTGTGTTTAGTCATTCTAATTTGATAACCTAAGTAATAAAGTATAAATAACCAACCACAACATGTTAAAATATAGAAGTAAATATGCAAAGTAGATACTCATGGTTATACTCTCTTTGTTTGTTATAGTTTAATTTGGCACAATGATTAATAAAGAATGTGAAAACTTCTAAAAGTTAATATCGCTAATCATGGAATTTAATTGTGTATTATAGTTTAGTTCGAAACATAAGGATTTGAGTTCTTCAGCCAAACAAAAGGGATTTTAGCTGGAACTTCTATGTATGATTGTATTACCTGCTGAATATAGTTGATAACTCTCTGATCAGTAACTTTGTTACCGAGCGCATCTTTAACATGAAAGACTGAAAACAAGCATTTAAAAGAAACATGTTAGATCCTATTAATTTGTTATTAATAACAGAAATAATGTGAATGTATATTATGTCGAATACCATCCATGAACCATCCAGCATCTGAAGATATATAGCCTTTCAATATAATGAAATTCATATCTGTTAGCACTTGCACCACTTCCAGTAGAAGACCTTGCTTATTTACACTATCAATCTGCATGTAATACGAATGGTTTGTTACAACTAAAACTATTTTGCTTTCATTTTCCCCTTAAATTAACAATTTATTCTTCATCTCGAAGAGAAATTTTATAATAATAAAAAAAACTTTACCTTCACTACTGTACAATTCTCTAGGCTCTCATTGTCAATAGTAATTCGGCATCTATATACGAGGAGAATTAAGTTAAATCTATTGAATTTTTGTCAAACAGAAATTTTGACAAAATCATTTTGATCACTTACTTTGGGCCATTTATCCTCTCAGCTAGGCTATCAAAATCAGGATCAAAATATGGCGAACAAACTCGGTTCATGCCTTCAAACTACAAAATAGGTCATGCGTATAAGTTAACCACAATAACAATAACAATAACATACTACTGGTGACCAACATCAAAAACGTGATGAAAACAACGGGAATTATGAAAACAATAACAATGTTGACAACAAAAATGATGACAGCAACAATTTGAAAACAATGACGACAAAAACAAAAGCAACTAACAATAATAATAGCAATATAATCTTAAGATTCAATTGTTCCTGACTAGATTTTTAGAAAATAACTTCATAGAAAATGCATTTATTCCTTTTTCCTTCTTGCACATCTCAACTGTTGTTGCAGTTGAAAAGATGTGTAAATATACTTTTTCAAATAAGAACGTATGACAAGAAACAAAACATCTTATAACAGTGGCTGACCTATTTTTGTCTCTACTCTCTTGAAAGTTTATGTGGAGATGTGATAAAACAGCTAGAGAAATCCCTGTTAACTAAATAAGGAATAAAAAGGAGGAGATAGATGCCAGTGAGAAGTCTAATCCCAATATTTTTTGGAAGAGGGAGAGATGGACGAAACCAAATTTCTGTGCTCTCTCACAGAAAGAAGAATGGAAGAAAATACACTAAATAAAAAAGCTAATTATTTCTATAAAATAATAACGAATGATTAGAGAGATTGTGTTAAAATTTGCTAGTGAAGGAGAGTATGCTTAGAAGAAATTAAAGAAGAAAAATGGGTGGTGGAAGTTTAGTTTGGGAAGTAGTAAGGTGAGATAGGTAAAGAAATGATGTTTAGAACTCAAAAAATATAATCCACACAAAATTGTAAGTTTAGGCCACATCTCTTATTGAATTGATTAAGTCATCTTTTACCAAATAGTCACTCAGTCAGTCAGTCAATTATGTCCCTTTAGCCATCCACAAATTACTCCTGATTTTTTGGAAAACCCCCTTTCTATAATAGGCATTACGAAGATGCAGCCCGACCAAGCATGCATGAAACCGAAAGAGGATCAAGAATTAAGGATTGTAAGTTTATAGTCCATTAACTACATATCATCTCCTATGCTTTTATGTTTGTGGCTTGAAATCCATCTCGGCTTTTAGATGAAACTGAATTGAATGCAGACGGGTTTAATTGAACCAGTACTTTTGACATAGAATATAAATTTATATGTAAGAATTCATTAAAGTTGCAATTAATAACAATTTAAACCCATAACTTTAAAAAGACAATGAGTTCAATGCTAAAATCTTTAAAGATTGAACTCATAAAACTTAAATCATAGATTCGCCTCTGTTTGAATGAGTTAGCGGGAAAGCCAGGGACTGTAGACTATAGTTGGAGCAAACACAACGCGACATCCGCGCAAAAAGATTTACGAGCAAGATAAATTACTTTAAAGGATATATAATTGTTAATCAATATACTGGATTTTCAGGAGAAAAAACTCATTAAAAACTCATTTTGAATGTTAAAAACGCTTACGGGATACAATTTTGATTACGTAATTGATTAGTTAACTTGTTTATACTAATCGCGTATTGCACGATCCGACACCATAATGTGAAATAGTTTTATTACAAGGGTAGTGTAAATCTTTATAAACAGTCATTTCAAATGACTTCAATATATCTGGAAGCAAATTGTGAAAGTGATTGGAAGAAAAAATATATTACATAAATAATATCCAATTTATAAAGAATGAGGAAAGAATGACATATCAGTTAAGAGTTTTAAATAGGCATAAAAGACCATTTCAACTTAGTCGGAAGCACATCTTAAGATTGTTAATAATTTGTATTACTATAATATAATATAATATTACGTAACAATAAATTTCTGTAACATAAAACAGAAACAAGAAAAACATAAATAAGGCTAAAACTGAAGATTATCAGAAACCGGAATCAGTAAATATATTTCGTACTAAAATCGAGTCCACTGAAGGCACAATGTGTTCTTAAGAAAATTATTCCCCTCAATTATCCGAGGTGTTGGAATATTATCCTCCCAGGATAAAACGATTTAACTCACCAGAGTATCGGTACCAAAAGCGCCGGTGAAACAGCGAACCACTTGAAGGCGGTAAACCATACTAGAATTTAATTGTGCAGAAGAAGGAGAAGAAGTTCAGAAAATTTCGTAAGGAAAGATTCTGAAATTAAGGCATATTTATAGCCATTTTCTAGCACTGTTTCTGAAATGTTTGCAATCTTTCAGAAACAACCATGGCTGTTGGAACAGGCGGGAATGATTCCAGATTTAAAATATTTCGGAAAAATAAACTTAAAATAATCCAGAAAAGAAACGGACCGGGTCGCATCGCTGGTTGACTTTTAAATGGGTTGACTTTTCGTTAATTAATTAAATTAATTAATTAAACAATTAAACACAATTGTCCAAAAAGATTAACCAATCGATCTTTGACCAAATCCGAAGCTGAGCGAGCGACGACGATGACGGCGCGAGACTTACTTTCTTTCCAACCCATTTAACACCAAGGGAAGTGCTTTCTCAATATAAGCACATTCCCTTTTCTTTCCACCACCAATGAGGGATAATTATTTTTTCCAAAGCATAAGGGAGCTCACTTTCTCTTCATATTTTTTTCCTCCATTTCTCATTCACCAATCTTTTAATCCCAGCAATCCCCCACATGAATGGTGAATGGCTATAAGACAAAGGAATGCATGAACGAGTGTGTGATTTACATGCAAGGATTAATTGCATCTGGATAAGTAGGTTTTCCATTGAACTTTCCGTAGTGAACTTATATCAGATATACTCGGTCAATCGGTAGATTTTATATCTTTGAACCGTCGAGCTTTGTTGTATACCTAGACAACATAAGACACATAAGCAACCCTTAACCATCTATGGTTCTCACGGTTGTGTTCGTTTTAGCCATGAACACCGCCCGATTTCATGAGTGCTTAGAGAATGAGCCTTTACTTTCATTCCCCTTGAAGCGTCTTACACTTCACACTCACGTAGATAATTTCTAAATGTGTAATCCTATAGACACACTATCTGGTCATTTCCTGCCAGACTTAGTAAATCATTAAGAAACTTTAAGCTTTAATGACTCATCAAAAAGCCTTAATGCTTTATCCCGATTTCTGAAAATTGTCTTCATTATGAGAATGGATTGAATTATTTTACAATGTTGAACCGTCATTCATAACTTTGTTTGATCTCTTTGAACCTAGCTCTTGGGATCTCCAATCTGCTAGGTAGAGTTACCGTCATGATGACTTATCCTAGGCCTTAACCCCATTCCCTTTGATGATCTTTCAACTGCCTCTCTAGATAGGCCTTTTGTAAGTGGATCTGATACGTTATCTCTTGACTTCACGTAATCAACTGTGATAACATCACTAGAGAGTAGTTGCCTAACGGTATTATGTTTCCGTCGTATGAGACGAGATTTTTCGTTATACATAATTCTCCCTGTTCTACCTATTGCCGCTTGACTATCACAATATATACATATAGGTACCAAAGGTTTGGGCCAAAATAGAATATCTTCCAAGAAATTCCGGAGCTATTCGACTTCTTCACCGGCCTTGTCTAAAGCTATGAATTCAGATTCCATTGTAGAATGTGTGATGCACGTTTGTTTGGATGATTTCCAAGACACTACTCCACCCCCAATTGTGAAAACATATCCATTCGTGGATTTAACTTCAGATGATCCGGTGATCCAATTTGCATCACTATATCCCGCAATCATGGAAGGATATTTGTTATAATGCAGTACATAGTCTTGGGTATGTTTCAGATACCCCAAAATGCGTTTCATTTCCATCCAATGTATTTGATTGGGGTTACTTGTAAACCGACTCAGTTTGCTAATAGCACATGCTAGATCTGGTCGTGTACAATTTATGATATACATCAAACTTCTCAATACTCTTGCATAGTCTAGTTGTGAGTTACTTTCACCTTTATTCTTTTGAAGTGCATAACTCACGTCAATTGGAGTCTTGGCAATCTTGAAATCCAAATACTTGAACTTGTGAAGTACTTTTCTAATGTAGTGAGACTGTGATAATGCTTGACCTTGTGGAGTCTTATGATTTCTGATTCCTAAGATCACATTAGCAACTCCTAAGTCTTTCATGTCGATTTGCTAGCTAGCATGCGCTTAGTAGCATTTATATTTGTCATATCTTTGCTCATTATCAACATGTCATCAACATATAAACAAACAATGACTTCATAACCTAGAGTGTTTTTAATGTAAACACATTTATCACACTCGTTAATTTTAAAGCTATTTGCCAACATTGTTTGGTCAAATTTAGCATGCCATTGTTTGGGTACTTGTTTAAGTCCATAAAGCGACTTAACAAGTTTGCACACTTTCTTTTCTTTATCAGGAACCACAAAACCCTCAGGTTGTTCAATATAAATTTCTTCCTCCAATTCTCCATTTAAGAAAGTTGTTTTAATATCCATTTGATGGATTTCAAGATCGTACACGGACGCCAGATCCACTAACACCCTAATAGATGTTATTCTTGTTACTGGCGAGTAAGTGTCAAAGTAATCTAGGATTTCCTTTTGTGTATAGCCTTTGACAACATGTCTTGACTTGTATTTGCCAATAGTGCCATCAGTTTTCATTTTCCTCTTAAAGATCTATTTCGAAACTAAAGGCTTATTTACTAGAGGAAGATCAACCAATTACCATGTATGGTTATCCAAAATTGATTGAATCTCACTATTGACTACCTCTTTCCAAAATTCTAAATCAGAAGATGACATAGCTGTTTTGAAAGTTTGAGGCTCATTTTCAAGCAAGAATGTCACAAAATCTAGTCAAAAGAAAGTAGATATTCTTTGACGTTTGCTACATATTGGATCCTCTTCATTTGGAGTATTTTCTTTTGGTCTTCCCGTGGTCATTTAGGTCTTTCACTTGACGACTCACATTCAGTTTTATACAGATAGATATTTTCAAAGAATTCAGCATTATCTGATTCAATTACCGTATTAACATGAATTTTGGGATTATAAAATTTATGAACCAAAAACACATGCTTTATTGTTTATAGCATATCCAATAAAAATACAATCCACAGTTTTTGGTCTGATTTTTACCTTTTTGGTTAAAGGTACTTGTACCTTTGCTAAACACCCCCACACTTTGAAATATTTCAAGTTGGATTTTCTTCCTTTCCNTAATGTCCGATTTTCCTTTCCGAAATTCCATTGGATTGAGGTGTGTAGGGGGTAGTTGTTTGATAAATAATTCCATTTCCGAACATATTTATGCAAAAGGAGATTCGTATTCTCCACCCCTATCACTTCTAATCATTTTAATCTTCTTATTCAATTGATTCTCCACTTCATTCTTATATTGCTTAAATGATTCAATTGTCTCATCCTTACTATTAAGAAAATAAATATAACAATATCGAGTACAATCGTCAATAAAAATTATAAAATACTTTTTTGCACCACGAGATGGTGTTGACTTCATATCACAAATGTCAGTATGAATTAAGTCCAACAGATTTGAATTCCTTTCAACAAACTTATAAGGATGTTTGACAAACTTAGATTCAACACATATTTGACATTTTGATTTATTATACTCAAATTTAGGCAATACTTATT